GCCCTTTCTCTCTTCCTCATGCCTCTTCTACTTACTGTTCTTTCAGTTGCTGTTCAGTGTTACCTCCTCCAGGACCTCCCCCTGGCCCAGGACCGAGTTAAGTACCTCTGCCCGGGGTCTCACAATAGGCCGTGTGTTCTTTGCTTTGCACCTACCATGTACCTGGGAGAGAGCTGTCTGCATAGCCACCTCTTCCACTAAACCCAGAATCTCTCCTTCAGGGCAGGACCTCTCGCTCTGGCTCCCCAGCACTCAGTAGGCCCTCAATACACATGCTGGGCGAGGGGTGGTGGTGGGGAATGAGCAGGTGAATTCCGGGTGGGAGGCTGGCTGCATGGTCCCTCCAATCCCATCTTACTAAGAATCTAGGATTCCAGCTTGTTGGTTCTTTGTGCATTACTGCTTTTGTAAAAACACACATGTATTAGAGGGGACATAGGGGAGAGTTGTTCTCCATACGAACAAGAAGACTAATCATAACTCTTTCATAAGCCAGAAAAATAAGCTGTGACATTCTCATGGTCAGAGCCAGATTCCTCAGCAGCTCCCGGGCCTGTGGACAGACATGAGGACAGAGATGCCTCAGTGACGTCCAACCCCATGAGGCCTTCCTCTCTCTCCTCCCCTCCAGGTCAGCCTGAGTCTCCTCTGCTGTGCTGGGGAATCCACAATATACACCAGCTAGAAGCCCCCGAGCTGTCCTTGACAGCATCTAAGACACAGAGACGGCAGAGGTCCTCAGGTGCTGTGGCCTCTCACAGGGCGGGCAGAGCAGGAAGAGCCCTGTGGCCTGAGCGCCCGGCTCTCCAGGGTCTGGCACGGGCCCACTTCTCCGGAGTCCTGGAGGTGCTGAACCCGCTAACAGACTTTTCCCAGGATCCCAGGCTCCTCTCTGCTTTCCACCCACATCTCTCCAACAAAAACAAAGGCCTCGGCCGGGATCCAAGCTCCAGGGTCTGTGGGGAGGGGGCACTGGGACACAGCCCCTGTCCTTCCCCGTTGCTGAAACCAGATCCCTGAAGCTCCCAGAGGCCAAGAGCATGCATGTAGGTCTCTTCAAAAAAGCTGTGCCGGGCTTTTGTTGGGAGGGCAGGAAAGATAACCGAGTAACTAGCAGCCACCAGGAGGAAGGGCCGAGTCACTTGGAAAGACAATTCCCCGGTAGCTTTTTACACTGATGGTGCATCAGCCCCACTGACAAAGGCAACTTAGGCCACTTTCCACACGGAGATGTATCACTAGTGCCCAAGCTGTCACAACAGCAGACGGACCAAAGGACCCATCACAGGGAGGAGAAGTGGGACCTTTGCTCCACCACACGCACTCCAACAGGCAGTTTCTAATAAAAACAAGTTCCAGGGACCCAACCCTCTAGGGATGGGCAGACGGGACACCTGGGTATTCAGAGAAGCTCAAAATATTTTTTTTCAGGGGAAAGGAAAATGATTTCAAGTTAAACAAAATCAAACAACAGGAACAGGACGATTTAAGCTCTTCCCACGATACAGCACTTCCTGGCTGCCAAGGGCAGTGAAATCTACGTGTAGGAAAGTAGATGCTTTAAATCCACAGCCTCCTCACCAGGACTTCTCGTTGCCAAGACCACTGCCTATGGACTTAACGACCGGTTAGCCCAGACTTGCTGATTCATTTATCCACAGACTCTATACTCTAACTTCATGCTCTTTCAGGAAAGTGGCTATTCTGCCCTGGGAAGGTAATTTGTGTCTCTGAGGTTCCCTTGAAGTCTCCTGACTCAACCACACCAACCTTCGGCAGGAGGAGCCAATGATAAGGCAGCAAATTTCAGCTCCCATTCCCCTGCCCCTACCAAGAAAAATCAGAGACACGAGGGACTAGAGAAGTGGAGTTTGTTCCCTTTGCCAGCTGGGAAATGTCATACACCGAGCTTCTCGCCGGATTCCTGCTGTAGCCCACTAGGAGGCTGCAGGTGGTCCTCCCACTGCCTGCAGGGGGGTTACCTGTCCTACAAACCTCGGAATCCTAGAGCTTCCCTGAAGTCTCGCCTGAAAACCAAGATCCACACGATTCTTTCCCAACTAAACTGCAAACTAAGGTATTAACATATCACCTTGCTTCATGTTTCCCTGTGTTACCATGGTATCATGGGAAGATCACTGGGCTTGAGGCCAGAAGACCCGATTTCTATTCCTGGTTCTCCATTAAATGATTCTGGTCAGGTAGTTCTTCTCAGCCTCAGTTTCTCTTCTGTGGAAAGGGGTAAACTGTTGCCCTGCCCGGGCCAGAGAACTGGTTTTGACACTCCAGTGAGACAACTTGTGAAGGAACTCAGACACTGGAAAGCCTTTTGCAAACATACAAATTCTAGGAACCCTAACTCTAACCCTTACCCTAACGATAACCCTAATGATAACCCTAATGCACAGTAAGTCCTTCAAAGGCAGGAACCAGTTGTCACTCAATTGTCATTTTTCTCCCCCTTCAGCAGAGTGCTCACATGTGGGCGGGGCTACTGCATTTGACATTTAGGGACTTTGGTACTTGACTGCGCTCCCCTAATATTATGGATCAGGAGTATCTTCATTTTAAACTCTTCTCCATTGGGCATAAACAGAACATCCTTTCCTTTTCTCACCCAGATCCGGTGGGCCTTCAGTGCGATGACTGCCGCTGTGAACATGCCTGGATGCTAAAGTCACGCCCCTCAAAGTGGCTGCAATATCTCGTCTCTGACTCCACTCATTGAGGGCCAGCAACGACTAGGTACCCTTTCTCCTTCTCTCTGTTCTTGGCTTCCCACTTAATTCCTTTCCAGGGCCTTTGTATACATGTCCACATGAGGCCCCTAAATACATTTTAAATTTTGCAAAATCTCAGCTAAAAATATCTTGTTCCCTGCAAGCGCCCTGCAAGTGTGATTGGTCTCCTATGTAGCGAAGGAGCTTTTATATTTTTAGTTTTCTTCCCATACAACAAACACTATTAATAACATTCTACTTTCTCCAGAGATGATATAGATTAGACCAAATGGAAAGTTACCATGGCTACCGTAGTGTTATTTTGGGTATGAGAAATTCATGCCGGGGAAGCGGCATCCATGGTCAAGAACTGGAGCTTTATTTCCGCTTTGCTATCGGGCAATCAATCCCAATTTAATTTTGAAACTAATTGCAATGGAAACTAATTATGAGCAGCAAGACCTGAAACCCCTAATTACAGTGGAAGTCAATAAAGTGAGGCAGCATGATCACTGGGGCAATGTTGGCAGGAGGAGGGATTTAGGCACAGGTGGACTTCCTTCCCCACGCAACTATCTAAGCAAAACAAGACGGGCATCAGTGGGAAACCCTAAGTTGGGTTTGAAGGCGTCAGTATCTGGTGAGGGAGCAGGTCAGGCCCTCTCTCTGGGCTATGAAGAGGCAACAAGTTGGGGCAGGGATACAAAGCCCGGATGGAAAGGAGGTATTTCTATCAGCAGTTAACCACCAGGGAGGCCACGGTGGGGAGGCGGGGAAGGGCTAAGCTGAAGGAGGCTGGTCCGGACTAACCCCATAGATTACTGTGTCCCTCTCAGGCCTTGGAGGGCACACAGCAGAGGAGCAGGGGGACCCAAACAGAATCTCATCCCTCAGACCCAGATATTTATGGGCTGTTTCCTCACATACCAGATGCTGAGTCACACTTTTCTGAATTAGCAGCAGTTGGCTTATGAAAGGCCTTCTATTAGAGTAAAAACCTACTGCCAATCCCTGAAGTGCACGCGTCCCTTGGGGACCTCCCGGTCTATGTTTGACAGCTTTAAAATACTGCTAATGGCATGACTTCATCTGCCCCAGGCCAGAAGCATCCATATTTAGGTCAGAAACCACATGGTCCTCACATCACCTCCCAGGCTCCAGGATAGAAAGGGGCTCTTACATCAGGGAGAGAGCACTTTTAACCAGTGATTGATTACTCACTCGCCTCCAAATTCCATGACAAAGGGACAAAAATGAACGTTGCTGCCTGGTGGAAAGCGACTCTGACCACTGCAACAGCGCAGCAGTCAGAAGCCTGCCCTCTGCTCACTGAGCGTAGATTTTTCTACAAAGACCCCCGTTACAGGGTCTTTCTCCCTTTTACTTGTTTTCCTGTTACATTTTCCTGATTTTTAAAAAAGCATTTTTGAGAAGAAAGAAGCAGAAGCTGGTAACCCTGTTGTAGCGTTTTCAACAGCACTGCCTGCGTCGGTCCCTCCGGAGAGGGGCTCCGCGTCAGGGTGGAAGAATTCCTTGAGAGCTCCCAGGCTCCTGTCTCCCACGAAGAAAGGAGGCCCAGTCACCCTGGGGCACAGGACTTTCCCAAGGCAGACAAACCCCAAGTCGGTGGGAGCCGATATTCATCCTAATTCTTAGTGTTGTCATAAGCGGGCAACAGAGACATACAGGCCTCGTCTTGAATTAGTCAAATGAGGTTCGTTGACTATTTTCATCGAAATAGTGTACTGACATATTACGCAAAACCTTTGGCACTGGTCTTGTAACCAAGGTTAAAAATGGGAGCAGTCAGAAAAAAGACAGCTCTGAAGACACAAATGTTTTGAAACCTGGCTGCAATATGAAAGGAGATACCTGGCAGTCTCTCTACATTATATATGTTATTGACATAATGGACCCGCAGGTTAAGCCGAGAGAGGGGCTCCGCCACCTCACATTTATTATGAACGAGGGGAGAGAGAAACAAAGAGAAAGAAGAGAAATAGCTTGGTCTTATTGAGCTACTTTGGTATAAAATTTCTGCCCAAGGAGACTGCAAGTGTCCTGAAACACAGAGCTTTGTCCCAAAACACAGATAAGGAGCCCCCTTCTGCCTCCAGGGGAGACATACCCCAGGGGCTTATGAAGATCCGCCAGTCAAAGAAAGCACCTCTGTTTCGACAGCCGGCTGGCTGCAAACTTTCTCTAGCGCCCGTTAGAAAACGAATGCTTTGAAGACCCCCAAATAATTTTAGATGCACCTTATCTCAAAGCCACACCTACCTTGACTCCAAGGAAAGACTTGCGGTGATAGAAGCAGCACAGAGCTGCCGAGAGGGCGTGGAAAGCACTGCATTCCTTAGGCATCTCTGTCCTCAGTCCCTGGACCACACACTTTCTTCAGGGTTAAAAGAAAGGGGGCTCCGGGCATCAGAGCTCGGGCCGCTCAGCAGCAGCTGTGCCGCGCCCGCCCGCCGTCCGTCCAGTGGCCGGGGGAGTGAGCCAGCTCCTTCTCCCAGGCCAGGCTGGGACTTTTCCCCTCTGCTGAAGCCAATACGATCCAGCCTGCCATGCACACAGTGCCAGAAATTCTCATGTGACCAGACTTGCTTTCTGATGAAATTCTAACCTCTCTTAGAAGAGGCTTTGGGCTTTAGCTGTCCCCTCAATGTAGGGACCGGGTAGAAATCATTACGCCCTCGGCAGCCTTTCCTTCAGGGCTGAAGGCACCAGGCCAGCTGCTCCTAGGGGCTCTGTCAGCTGGCTTGTCACCCCAGCGCCTAGGGGTTCAGGAAGCACACAGCACACCTCCTTGTGATGGGACAGAGGCTCCTTTGAGAAGACGACCTAGAGGTGGCCAGGGAGCGACTGTCCCCTGGGAGCGATCTTAGAAGTCCTAGGGACCCAGGCGGGATCCCTGTCCCCACCCTGCCAGTCCATCCCAGAACTGTTTATTTTTAATTAGGATGCTCCTGGCGGCCAGCTTGCAGCTGATAATGTTGGCACAGCCATCGCTACTGTCAAAGCAACAGTGCCTTTTGGTGTTTAATTAGCAAGTCTGTCAGCAAACACCCTGAGCGCCCCATGGCCTCCCCACCTGGCCGGGCAGGCTACTGGGAGGATGGGACGGGCTGTGTAGACTCTTCTGACCCAACTGTTTGTCTCATTCCCTTCCTTCACTTTAATACTTCACTTTAGCTGCCGGCTCTCAGATCCAGCACATGAGGCTCACAGCCAACCTGGCTGAGCTTGTTTCTTCTGTGCTCAGAGGCCTTTGCCCCCACCAAGAGCCTCCTAACGCCTTTAGGGGAAAGTCACTGCTTTTCTCCTTTCATTCCACTAAGAGTGGATGCTCCATGATTCTGGTGTTTTTGTTTTTGTTTTAAATCTAACCCAGGTTTCTGCCTGTAGCTCTTCCTCTCCTACCGTTCCAAATATTAACTTTCTGTGGCTCTGGCCCCTCAAACATGGAATGTGTCCTGAAGCTTTCTAAAACTTCGCACAGGCAGAAACTTGCAACAGGGAAGAAACAGAGCCCATTCAGTTCTGAAAGGGACACTACCACGGAGGCACGAGGGAGGTCTGAACACACCAATGGGTCCCTGTCCAAGAGGAGGCCTCGGCCTTTGGACTTGGTCAAGTTGGCCTGTAAAACTAGGGAACTGTTTGCCTAATGCCTGCGAGCAGCTTCCATGCTGGCCCGAGTGCTGTGGAGAGAGACAGGGTAGAGTATCCCCACGTCCACCATGAGGACGGACCTACAAAGGCTCTGGCGCCACAGGAGCAACCAGGGGCTGACTCCCTTCCTGCTCTCTCCTCCCTTCTCCTCCATGGCTCCGGAGGTCAGGTGTGCAGCCCTGGGAACTCCTGGGTCTGGGGAAGGCCCCCTGAGAACCTGGGAGCAAGCACCAGAGGAGCAGAACTCACGGTTGGTGTGTTTTTAGCTGGAGGGGGCCCCTGGAGATGGTCCAGTAGATGGATCAATACTGTTCTCCAAGGTCCTGTACTGTACCTACGAGGGGGCATTTCCCTGCCCCCATTTCTATTAGATGGGGTTCAAAGGGTAAGTCCACATGGGCAGCCAGGGCCCATGACCCCAGCAGTCAGGCCACCAGCCACCAGGTAAGGGGCCCAGTGTTCACCTGCTATTCCCCTTTCCCTCAGGCTCACAAAGTCCCCAAATGGCTAAAGAACAGCCTGGAAGAGGAAGAAAAGCAGCTCCTTCAATCCTGCACAGAAATTCCACGAGGTTAGTTAGCCAAAGCCTTTGAATTCCAAAGCCTTTGAATTCCAATACCCTACCCGCAGAAAGCATGAATGCAGCGCATTCCTGCAAGGAAATGCGCAAATAACTCAGACATGTAAATCACATAGCATCACGAAGTCAAGTGCTCCCGGAGCCGGAGTAAAAGCAAAACAAAGGCCGCTCAGGCCAGGGCAGGCCCGCCGCTGGTCACCTGAGGCTGTCCCTGTTTACTCCAAGAAATGTCTTTAAAATGCACCAAAACTGGTTCCGTCAGGATTAAAGGATGGGCTACTCTCACTCACTTTTTATTTGTGTGTTCCACACAAAAAATATTTCCGACGCAAGGTCACAGGTTTTAATCCATTTTCTCCTCAAATGGCGGAGGAGAGACTAAAATAACTATCATCTTGCAACTAAAGATGATAATTGCATGAATTCACTGACTTGTTATGCTTTTAAATGTCTCCCATCCACACTGATCAATGCCCCCACACGCATCCCACAGTGATTATTCTATTCTGGTTACAAAGACACAGAGGACCAGAACTGCCTGTCACTCAGCGGAGAGCAGACAAGGCACCAGGGACTCCGCCTGTGACTGCAGAACCTGGTGTCTGATCACATGGAAGCAAAAATAAGATTTTTTTAAGCGTCTTATAAGTGAACCTGTCCCACAGCCCCGTGGAAAGGCTGTGATGTGCTACACTGGGGCAGGGTGACGCTGATGATTTAGTACATGTGACTGAGGACCAGTCAAATCTGGATTCAGGGTTTTCTAAACAACTTGCCCTTCTGTGGGCAGGGTTCAGGGTCGCTAATGCAACTCCAGGGACGGATGGACAGAGGCAGCCGCATGGAGCTGCGGGAAAGGTCTGTGCTCCCCAATGCATCCTACCCCTGCTACCACACCTGGATCTGTGAGGAGGCATTTCTCTGCACCAAGGGAAACACCTGTGAAAACAGCCAGGGCGGGGTAGCCAGGTGGACCCTTGAAGGAAAACCCTGTTACCGCAGGTCACATGTTGCCCACCCAGCTGGGAAGAGGGCTAAAGCAGGCTGGAGGCGGCCCCTGCACAAGCATTGCCTTCAATGCCATTGTTCCCTTGGGTAGCCCTAATACTAACCTGCACTACTTAGTAACCATGGAAACAGGAGCTGCCTGCCAGCCATATTCACAGACACGTGCACGCTTCCTTTCCATCCGCCGCAGCCCTTGGGCTAAGAGAGGCTGAAAGCGAGTACAGAGTCCCTTTCCCAAAGTTCCACAGCCCCCGTGAGGTAGACCTGCTCTCTGAGGATGGCATGGGGTGAGAGATCTGTGCAGAGAAAGATGTGCCTGCCAGGTACCTGCTTTTCCGTTTCAGGGCAACAAGGAATGTGATGCTGCCCCAGACCCCCACTCCCCTTCCCAAAGCTAACCCGGAACCAAGCTGTCCAGCCTTACATGCAGTGAGGTGCTTAGGCCATGCCAAGCAGCCCCAGGGACAGTGCGTGCTGAGACCAGAGGGCACTGGTGCAAGGCTGCACGTCCTGGCTTGTCCCTGCCCACAGGGACTCACTCAGAACGTCCGTGACCACCGGTCATGGTCAAAACAGCTCAACCTCTGGTGGCAACTGTGAGACTTCACCTGTCCAGAAACATTGATCTTTCCTGGCTTTTGTCTTCACTAAACCCCAGTGATTGGGCTCTGGGGGAGCAAAGACAGCGTTAATGAGATAGGGAGTAAGGCCAATGCTCCGAATTCTGTTTCTCCTGGTGTCCCAGGAAGTAGGGAAGGAAGATTAACATGGACAGCTGGTCCTAAATTGCTGAGGATGCCCTCTGCAGGCTCAGCAAGAACCTAGAAAGCTGTGGGCCAGAGAAGGGGCAGCCCTGCTCCCCAAAGCCTCCCAGTCACCTGGCCTGTCTGTGTGATTCTGCACACAGTAAACCAGGAGGGGAGGTGGGGAGGGAGGAGCTCTTCGTAGCAGAGCACACACCCTCACATCACAAGCAACAGGGCTGGGGCAGCGGAGGTGGAAGCCGTGAGAGCGAGGAGAAGCGTTGGGGAAGAGGTCCCCTCCTCATGCCAGGCTCAGTCAAAGATGGCTCAACACATTTTTCTATATGCAAATGTGATTTATTTCTTGCTCCAACAAGGAATGCAAACTAGACTCGGAGGGAAGAGGGCGGGAAAGGCAGGCCCAGCTCTCTGGCCACTTTGTGTGCGGCTGTGAGCAAGAAGCCGGCTTGCGCTGGTGCAGCAGAGGCGCGGCGCGTTTACGAGTGTGTGCTGCACACATCCCAGCCTGACAGTCCCCGGATTCCTCAAGGGGATGAAAGGGTAGGTTGCTAAATGGCTTCTGTCGGGAAACGGTATTGATCTGCCTAGCACATACACAAGAAGATTAAGGCCAGTATTCACACACCGATTTCTCTCCACTGGGCCTTTGTCCTCCCACAAATGTCTGTCCCTTTAATTGGCGACTAAAATTGTATAACTAATCATGTGAAGCAAAACTAGGTGAGCACCCAGGCCCGACTACTTTCTTGCACTATCACATACAATTTCACCTCATATGTCCGCCCTTCCCCATCGTCATTTCCTGGTATTCTTATTGCCGTAATTAGCTGGTTAATATTAATAACAGGAAGAGAGCAAAGGGGAGGCCAGACATCATAAGCATGGTCACCTGGGCAGCTCCACCAGGAAGCTACAGCTTCATGCTCCCCAGGGAACCAAGGTCCATTCCCTGCAGACCATTGGGGGAAGGGATCAAAGAAAGGGGGAGATGGGTGCATGTGCAGTAAAGTCTGGGTGGCACAGGGAGGTGCTTGCCTGCAGTCTAGCTTGGGGAACAATGGATTGGCTGGGGCGGGGGGACCCCATCAGAAGTGCATGAAATCTTAAAGAGTTAATTGGTTAGTTTAAAGAAGCTCCTGGTTAAAATCCCCAAAGAGTTCCTTCCCTCTTGTTCTCTCTTGCTCCATGCCCCACACTCGCCCATGCGCTTGCGTGTTCTCTTTCCATAGCCACATGGCCTTCAGCAGCCACTTGGTCTATGGCTGTGTCGTCCACACACAATGGACTGCAGCTGGGGACGCGAGCTAAGCTAGGCAGATGCTGGAACGGACTGGACT